GCATTCCTTTGTCATAATCATAGGTTTTTTTATGATGGAAAAGTAAGGAAGATTTTATCTGATTTGAAGAATCTAAGAAGACAAGGGTACCAGAAATCCAAAGAAAATCTTGAAAATAAACCAGATGTTTGCTCCAGTTTCCTTATGGAGAGAACAACTTCATCGACTGTAGAATGGCATACTTGAACAGTAACTAGCTGAGAAGAAGCAGCTAAGTGTGGAGTATCACGAAACTGCAAGAAGGATATTGGGACCTGAGATAAGGATATGAGGTTGAGGGAGAAATATTCCCCTGGAGGCTCATATCTGGAAAACGCACTGGCCAGGATGTAAGGCAGGTCTGGGAAAAAAAAAAATCTCAGCTAAGCAGATTTACAGTCTCCCAAGTAATTAATTTAAAATATCAAGAGTTTTCGGAACGTAAATGTCCTGAAAAGATGTGAACTGAGTTAGCAATTTCTTGTTTTGCTGAAGAAGCTTTCTTTTGCAATGCAGACATTTCAGCTTTCTAGGACATGCCTGTATATATCTATTTTTAATGTTTCTGTGATTAACTACAACTTTGAAATAATCTGAGATCATAACTTGTGTTTTGTTTCATAAGCTGAAATATTACTGGTAAGATATCCATTTCTTGCCGTTTGCTTCATTGCCATTTTATTCTTCCTATTTTAACCCAATCCATACCTTCATTTGTGGTTGAATTTGCTACTAAACTTGCGCTGTAAATGAAGAAAATTGCATAAATTGAAATTGGAATGCATAGGAGTAGCATGGGGTTTTGCTTTTTTTATGCATTCTGCTTTATTCTACTATTATATTCTCCTTGAATCCTGAATCTAAGAGCTTTTGTTTGATTGCCTTGTGCTAGGAGCTGAGATATTTGCCTTAGTTGTGGACGTATGTTTTTCAGATTAACCTGAAATGTTTTTTCTGGATAGGTTAATTTTGAAGAAGACTACGTTTCCTCTCCCTCTAGGCCCTGGCGCAATTTCTACTCACGTTTCTCTACAAATGTAGTTGGTTGTGAAGACAGAGTAATGAGTAGCTAGAATTTGATCACCGCACTGGCGTTACAGATGACATAGTTATCTGCTAATGTTTACGGTTCACTATTAAGCCATAGGACTTGAGACCTAAATATTTCTTGCAAAACAGCTTGACGTTTGATACCTGGATGTAATTTCAGTACCGTTACTTATGTTATGGTTAATCTTGCAATACATACCATTCAAGGTGAATGCATATTGTTGTTGTGATACGATTGTTTTCATTTAAAAATACTATAATCAAAATAGGAGAGGGGATGACAATAGCCCAATTTTTAGGTGTAGACTTTTTTTTTTCTAAATTTCCCACAATGAGGTGTGTATTACTTTTAACGAAGAAATGTATTAAAATGTAATCATACTGTTTCTTTTACAGAAGGGCAGCTAAGACACATAAAGACTGGGGAGCCATTTGTTTTTAATTATCGTGAAGATTTGCATAGATGGAACCAAAAGCGCTATGAAGCTTTGGGAGAGGTATGTGAATCGTGCATGTGTGTGCATACGTATCTGTATTAGTGTACTGTGTTTTTTTTTGTGTTCCTCTATGAAAACGATACTTTTATGTATTTTAAGAAAGATTTAGTGAGGCTGCAGTCATTTAACAAAAGATATTTCATGTTTTGTTGCATGTTAATACTCCAATAGTAATCTACATTATTTACTGTATAGTTTAGAATGAAATTCAGGCTATATTTTGACTTTCTGCTGTATTTAAAATAGAATGTCATGTAGATTACACAAATCAGAAAAATTCTGCTGAGTAATGTTTTCTGTAACTTTCTTGTCCTGTAAGCTGAGCAATGGGTACAGAACTGATGTGGAGCTTTACTTTCTAGCTAAAGATATATATATATATATATACACTGGCTGATCTCACTGATTTCTCCGCATGTCTCCAGTGGATAACAGGAGCCATGAAACTGAAAAATTAGAAATTTGATGATTGATTAGATATTTGAATGCTACTGATATTTCCTTTGACTTTCTGTAGATACACAATGTAGTGACTGCTGAGTATATAGTTCCTCTTCTGTGTGAAAATGACTCAAATTTTAATGCCATGCTTTTTTGTAACATTTTGGTAGTCAGAACATTGACTTGACAAAAAGAGAGAAATCTCATCTCAGTGAATGCAAAAATGTGTGTGCTTAGGTCTTCATTGCATTGTCATAACCTCCCCTGCCCAACAGAAAGGGCAGTTTGAGCACACTGACCTCTGAAGGTATTAGTGCTGCTAAAGTCACAGTGGCCTTTGGAGGCCCATGAAAGGGGGTGCATAGTTCAGTGCACCAACTACTGCCTTTGCCTTAGAGATGTGGCACTGTGACTTCTGTTTGGAAACGTTGTGGCACGTCATTCAAAGAACCCTTGTGAACTGCCTTAGCCTCGTGGCTTGTCGTCTTTCATTAGTGTTACTGTTTTAGTAAGGATTAAACACGTTGTTTGAGTCTCTTCGTTCCCCACTTCCTCTTTCTGTTAAGGTTACTTTAGACTCGTCAGAGAAGCGTGTGATTGTGCACGTATTAGACATTTAATCTTTTAAATTTTCTTTTCCACTAAAGAGTATAAAACAAATTAAATGTCCAAAACAAAAGCCAATCATAAACTGTTTCAAAGTAAATAGTACAGAACATCTTGAATGAATTTCTTGGATGGGTAAATAAGAATATACTTAAATTTTTCACCAAATGGCTGTATATAGTTTCTGATGGTGCCAAGAGTGTATTTAAGTTGAAGAAATATATAATTACATGGCCTTTTCTAGTTATAACAGGATGGTCTCTGGGAATTTATTTAGGTATTGAGCAAGCAGGATCAAGAGAAGAGTGCACAGCACAAGTCTATATCTGATTGACTGAATAGCACAAATAGCACTCCATTCTCTCTTGAGTCCTAATAGTTGAATGAAGCCTGATCTGAGAATTCCCCTAATCCATGAATTTGGATATCAGGATGAGTTAAGTGTAAATAGGAGGGATAGAAATTTCCTTCTGTGGAGAGTAGAGTGGAAGAGGAAAGCATAGTGGGAGATTCACACATGTACACTTCAATACTGTACACTTCAATACTGCAAAGCTTTGAAATGCCATATTCTTACATATACAAATCCCCACTTAAATACACATGCCCTTCACTGTTATGTAGCAAAAGAATTTCTATTCTTTGAGAATAATTCATCAAATAATCCAAATTTTTAGATAAACCATAGCGAATTTTCAGTCATGTGGGTTTTACTTTTTTGTTCAGGTAATGTGTAAAGCCACTACATCTGCCCGGGATAACATGAATTAGTCTCTGTCTCCCACTTTCTTGCTATGGCTCCTCAAGAGGCTTTGAGGTGGAAGCAGCTTTTCTGTTTGTGCATCTGTGATGAAAAGCTGACACTAACCCTGCAGGGCCTCTGAGGGGTGATCTGGTGCTCTGTGGCTGGTGGAGCCCCACCGTTTTTGGAAGGGGACAGCCTGGAATTTGCCATTGTAATGGATACGCTGGAGCTGCTGCAGCTATAAACCACTGCTTTGTCCTGCCAGACCTTCATTCTTGGATATTTAAGAACCTTTCTTCTTACTTCCTCGTCCTCCTGCTCATCCCTTTAAGGAGCCTGGAAGAACTGTGGCAGGGTAGGAGATGATGGAAGCGGCCGCTGCTTCTCACATCCTTCCACCTCAACTGCGTGTTTTTCCAAAACAAGGCATGTGCTATGGCCAAAGCTATTGTATTATCTAGTTCCTTGATATTACACATTTCTTCCAGAAGGACACAGATTGGCCCCTATTCCGTGGTCTGTGTGTGCAGACATTTCCATATGTCCATGTTGTTTGAATAGCCCCATTTTCCAAATGTAATTGTGTGCTGCCCACATCACTTCAAAATTCTTATGTCTGCATGTGGGCTGCTCTGCTGCCACACCTTCAGGTAGGTGTTTTTGCAACATCATCAAATTCTTCATTCTGTGTGTCTGAGCTGGGAGTGGCACGTTTTCAGCCCAGAGTAATATGAAAGACTTTTTGAGATTTCACTTAGTTCACTTAATACTTTGTGCACTGAGATTTCACCCACATGTTCACAGAGTGGGTGCCTAACATCCGTGATCTGTCGTGTGCATTTTACCTTACTTATAGTTACTCTTCTGGTTCCAGTTTGAGTGATCGTTGAAAATACGCATTGTTTGTATTAGTAGATAAAAGAGGAGGAAGGTTTGAGGTCAGGATTCTGACAGAGGGTTAATTGTTCTAAGTTGTTTATTGGTTTTATGTTTCCAGACAGAAAAGAAACTCACCTCTGTTTTAATCTACTGTCTTAGCTAGGTGTTTGATATTACACGATTCTTTCAACAGGCCACAAATTGATACATGTTCCAGAGTCTTGTGTTTGGCCCAGAATGAGCATCTGGACAGTGATCTATCATTTATTTACGCAGATAAGACTTCTTGTGCCATAGATTGGTGGGTCATTCATGTAGATGTTGAACAGTATTCAAGAAATAAGTTAGCCTCTCATTAGACGTTTTGTAGTCTAGGGTGAGTTGTGTTTAACAAACTGTGGTAGCTTAAAAGGTAGTAGCTCATGTAATTTATAAGATGACATAATAAAATGTTGCCTTAGGTCTTTGGCTTTAAATCATCCTTCTCTGGCGTAGGAGTGCTCTGATATGACTTTTTATGTAGCTGCACATGTAGTGAGAAGATGAAGTTGCTAGACTTGTATCATTGGTCTAAAAGTTGTGTATATTCAGTGTGGCCATTGTTTCCATAGATAGTTCAGTCAGTATATACTGGCTCACTAATGCTAAAGGGGATTTACCCCTGCCTGAGGCAATTTTTTACTAGGCGTACACATTGCAGGCTGCTTTTATTGCATTTTACTGATTTTAAGGAATGGATGCACTTCCTGGCCTGGCTGTAGCATTGTTCTCTCTTTCTTGGAGCATTAATAAGTTTCCATTTGGTAGTCCATGATTTTTTTACGGGTAAAAGTGCTGAATAACTATCTGTGAAGTTCTGCCATGACTCTGGCTGAATGGAAATTGATTCTTCACAAATTGCAGTGGTTCATCAGTGTTTCCACTTCTTCCACCTCTTTGTTTCATTCACTGATCTGTTATTTCAGGCGCATATAATTTGTTCTGCAGCCTCTTGAAATCTATTCCTAATAGACAATTTAGTGAAGTTCATAATTTTCTGATTCTGGTTCGGTCATTGCTATTATGGCACTGAATTCCTTAGAGAGTCCTCTCCATTGTGTTTGTGTGTGTGCGTGTGTTTTTTTTTTTAATTAAAATGGCAACAGAAGTGCACAGAATGTGGTGTTGCAGCTGTTTCTCACTGACTACTAATCCATATTGCAAGTTTGAAGGAGGATTGAGAACAACCCTGTGACAACAGTTCAGTTGGTGCAGACACACCATTCTGGTTCAAGGTTGAATTCTAGGGGTTTTGGGGCAAGAGTTACGGAGATTTGGATTCAGGATTAGATTCTAGATTAAACTTGTGATATATCTCCTTGCACTTCAACTAGATGTCTGTCTGTATTCACTGTTTGTACTGCACTTTGAATTGATATTATGGCTATTGAAATTGCCAGGTCAACTTCAGTCGCTGCTTGACCATAACTTCAAAATTAGCTGGTGTTATAGAAGAGATGCTGCTAAAATTCAATTATTGGGATTTTACCTTGTGTTTTGCCCATCATATCCGTTGTGTTGATGACGAGATTTCACGTGAGAAAGATTTTATTGATGTTCTGCTTCCATGGCCTTTCAGGGACCAGGGCATCCCTAGCATCAAAGGACAGTTAGTGTTTATCCTTCTGTATGTCTCTTTTAGCACTAGCACTGGGTAATTATAATTTGGTGATTTCTTGGAGGCCATTTAATATTTGCACGTGTTTTGTCAATGCTATCATTAGTAAAGAGGCTTTTACCTGTACTGGCAGCTTCCTTGACTACCTATGTCTTCCAAAAGAGTCAAAAAGGACTCGTAAATACATGAATTATGATGTGGACCATGGCACGAATGTCTCTCCTGTGGTCCTATTCAAGGATTAGTATATGCTATGTCTTATAATTGCTGCCTATCTGGTGTGCAGAAGTGTATAAGCAGATGAATTCTGCTTATTACAGTTAGCATGCCATAGCGCAAGAAAATACCTGATAGAATACCTGTTTATGTAGAACAGATAGGGAAAACAAGGCAATGGAACACTAAAGTCAGAAATTTGTTGTAGGTTTCATGTATGATAAGATACGGTTGATTGTATATTATCAGAGAAACGTTGACCCACCACATAAAGTGCTTTAAAGTATGTGCATAATTTTTAGGTCCAGCTCATCATAAAGCAGGTTAACCATCAAGATGAGTATTTGTGTGTGGAAAAAATAAGTATGTGGAATTATGACAATGATAACCCATAATTAAGACTGCTAAGGAGTAAAATGTTTTTTGTTTTTTGTTTTTTTTCCTCCTCCAGATTCC